CTGAAACTCTTGTTGGTCTCGAAGGTGCTGAGTGGAAAGTGCCGTGAAGTCACGGCTGACTGATGGTGACCCCCGTGGGGGTTTTCAAGGCAAGAGACGGTCAGAGGTGGTTTGCCATTGCCTGCCTCCGTGTCATGGCCCTGGTATTCCTCCATCCAAATACTAGCTGGGGCTGTCCCTTGCCTAGCTTCCAAGATATGACGAGATGAGGCTATCCTGGGCTACTGAAGGTGCCACTGGACTCCAATCTAACTGTTGTATTACAGGTATCCTCTGAAGCAAAAAAAAAAGAAATTTAAAGAATTACGTTAGCTCACATCCACAAAGGCGAAACCAACTGTCACTGAGCCACAAAATATCTAGTTTCTATTTTTGGAACTTGCTAATACAGGGAAGATCGGTAGCCCGGCAGTTCGAGACCCTAGTGCTGCATGACAGGGTGACAGGGTGAGCTCCCGTCTCTGGCCCCAAATCCTGCCAACCTAGCAGGTCCAGGAGATCTTAATCTGGTAGCAAATCCTGAGGTTGATCGCTCCCGTACACAGGGATACACACATCAAAAGACTCATCAAGCAACAGGTTTAACTAATCTTTTACAACATTTTCACCTGACTGATGTATGGAGACCATTACATCCCACAGATAGAAACTATACATTTTACTCAACTAAACATGCATCATACACACGTATAGATTTTATTCTAGTATCTAACACAATGGTCCACAAAATTCTTGACTCTGACATCAGTTCCATCATTTTCCGCTTCTCCGCTATTTCCTCCTTCCCTTCCCTGAAAGCCCTCACAGCCTCTCCTCTTTACCTGCTTCCTTCTCTCCTTCCCACCTACCAGCCAACGTGGGACCTTTTTCACGCAGAGCAGATGCTCTATAACTGAGCCACAGCCCCTCCCCTGAACAGCTAGTGTCACTTTTACCTTGACATCCTCCCACAATAACCTACCTAGTTACTTGTATAGCCTCGGATTCCTTGCTCTGCATCGCTCCGCCATCTGTGGTGTGGCAGGCGGCCACAAGAGACAGGGCATTTTTGATAGCGGTGCCTATATTTAGACCGCCCTCCCAAGGAAGGTCAACTTGGCTCCCGCGTTACTTACCTGGCATCAAGTGAAAAATGTTGCTTTGGAATAACTAAGAATTGAAGAACAACTTACAGTACTACTAGTCGGCATGTTTTTTTGTGAAGTTGTTACATTATTTTGGTTTCAAGAACATAAGAAAAGCCCTGCTGGATCGGGCCAATATTCCATCTAGTCCAGCCTCCTGTCTCACACAGTGGCCAACCAGTCCCTCTGGAGGGCCAACAACAGGGCAGAGAGGCCAAGGCCTTCCCCGATGTTGCCTCCTGGCTCTGGGATTCAGAGGTTTAGTGCCTCTGAATACAGAGGTTCCCCTCAATCACCATGGCTAGTAGCCATTGACAGACTTATCCTCTATGCATATACGGGATCCCCTTTTGAAGCTGTTTATTCCTGGGGCCCTCACTACATCCTCTGGCAATGAATTCCACATTTTAATCCCTCCTTGTGTAAAGTAGTATTTCCTTTTGTCCGTCCTGAACCTACTGCCCATCAGCTTCATTGGATGCCCTCGCGTTCTAGTCCTTTGAGAGAGGGAGAAAAAACTTCTCTTTCTCAACTCTCTCCACCCCACACATAATTTTATAAACCTCTATCATGTCCCTCCCTTAGTTGTGTCTCTTCTAAGCATTCTCTTACTCACTTCAGGTGTTTGCGGACTTAGCAAAACCCACTGCAGAAGATGAACTATCTTAGCAAAACTAGCCACTTGACCCCACTGCTTGTGTTCTTCCATGTTTCCTTGACAAAATCTAAGATATCTTCTCAGACCTGGTGGAAACTGCTTAACACTTTCATGAGTTTATAGCACAACTGAAAGTGCCTGAGTCGCTCCCGTTCCCGCACATGCCAACGATACCTTATACAAGGGGCGTCGGACGTCAATAGGACAGTTCTGTATAACTTCATCGACAATATCAGAAATCGACTCCATAAAGTCTGGGTTGGCAAACTGAAAATAAATGGGGCAGTCTCACACGCACGGAAATGACAGCACTGGACAATCCGAGACAGAAAACCCAGAGGACTCAGGCAGGGCTCTTTTTGTAGCAGGGACTCATTTGCATATGAAGGGACACCTCCCTAATGTAGCCAGTCCTCCAAGAGCTTACAGTAGCTCCTGTAAGAAGAGCTCTGTAAGCTCTTGGAGGATTGGCTACATTAGGGGTGTGTGGCCTAATAGGCAAAGGAGTTCCTGCTACAAAAAGAGCCCGGAGTATCTGTATTCGCCTATTGTGATAGTCTACAAACAGCACAGTCCTACGTAGAGATACTCCAGTCTGAGCTCATTGATTTTGCTGGGCTCAGACTAGAGAAACTCTGCACAGGATGAGGACTAGCAAGGTGTTTCAGAAGTGTTTATTGCAAAAAAAAAAAAAAAACCCTGTGTAGAAAAGAGTCTTGTCCATCAACATATACTAATCAACATCTTTTGGTAGTCCCCAGCCCCAGGGACATCCAGCTTGCCTCGACCAGGGCCAGGGCCTTTTCGGACGTGGCCCTCATCTGGTGGAATGAGCTCCCGTGTGAGATCAGGGCCCTGAGGAATTCAGGGGTCGTTTCGTAGAAAAAGAGCTAGGGGACTCATTAGCATAACTCATTAGCATATGCCACACCCCTGCCATCACCGGAAGTGTGTCATAAGGCCACACCCCCTGACATCACCGGAAATGTGTCATAAGACCACACACCCCGCCCCCAACGGTCCCGGCCGCCGCCGCCGGCCTTGCAGCTCCACTGCCGAGCCCCATGAGGGGCCCGGCAGTGGACCTGCAAGGCTGGCAGGAGTGCAAGGAAGACCCACGAAAGCCTTGCCTGGCCCCAGGCAGACAGGGGTGGGGAGAGGCAGGGAGGAAGCAACTTACCCTCCCCAGGATCCTTAAATCTTCAATGCCATCTTAACCGCTAAGACATCTGATATCCACTAGAGTTTACATGGTACTCCAGGATCCTTAAATCTTCAATGCCATCTTAACCGCTAAGACATCTGATATCTGCTAGAGTTTACATGGTACTCAGGACTTGTGTTATGTTATTTTATACTGCTGTTTTAATGTGGTTTTAACGGCATTGTATTTTATATTGTTGGCACCCGCCCTGAGCCCAGTTGCGGGGAGGGTGGGATATAAATCCAAATAAATAAATAAATAAATAAATCAGTTCCAACCACCAGCTACAAATGATTCATTGAGTTTGGCCTTTAAAATGTGGGCCTCGCATGTGCACAGCCACAGTTATCATGAACATGGCTAGCACAACACATTTCGAGTCCAGTGGCACCTTTAAGACCAACAGAGTTTCATTCATGGTATGAGCTTTCGTGTGCATGCACACTTCTTCCGATACATTGAAATGGAAGTTACCAGTCCATACACATAGGTAGAGGGTGAACAGCAAATTAGCATACAGCATAATGAAGATATTTAACAGATTCAAGGACCGAACAGGAATAACAAGTTTAGTTTATACGGTTACCATTTGTTTGGGTTTAATTCTGGGGGGGAACATAGTGAGGGAAATAAATATATCAAAATTGGAGACTCATGGGCAGAGGCATCCGTCTTAATTGTGGGATGCTGCGAGTAATTAACTGAGACCCTGTACATGATCAGTTTGCATCTGTTCAAGCACCACAGTACATACCTGTCGTGGGTGCAATTTAAGGAGGAATCCTGCTACCCAAATAGTTCATATACCGCTAAGTGCACTGCAACATCAATATCCATTGTCACTGAACTACAGAATACCAGCTATGGGCTGAACCG